AAGCCCACTCACCGCAACTAGAGAAAGCCTGCATGCAGCAACGAAGACCCAACACAGCCAAAAATAAATAAATAAATAAATAAATATAGATATATATATAGATATATATAAATTTTTTTTTTTCTTTTTTTTTTTTTTTGCAATACGCGGGCCTCTCACTGCTGTGGCCTCTCCCGTTGCAGAGTACAGGCTCCGGACGCACAGGCTCAGCAGCCATGGCTCACGGGCCCAGCCGCTCCACGGCACATGGGATCTTCCCGGACCCGGGCATGAACCCGTGTCCCCTGCATTGGCAGGCGGACTCTCGACCACTGCACCACCAGGGAAGCCCTAAATAAATTTTAAAAAGCAAAAAAAAATCCTTTTAAAAAGAAAAAGAAAAAAGAATATATGAGTGTTAAAGAACCAACCCTGAGCCCCTTGAGTTCGGCACTTTTCTCTTAATGGACAGTGTCTTGGAAGGAGACTGAAGGACACGTGAACGACTCCTGCGTGTTCTGTGTGCAGTGCTGCGTCTTTCACAGTGTCACTGCCATGTTGGGATCCTGCCAGGCCTGCTGCCAGCCTACTGTGCTTTCTCCACATGCCCCTCTCCTCTGCACCGTGCCTCTGTTTCCCCACCTAAGCATGGAGATGATGGTAGCTCCTTCCTACTACACACAGTTCTTCTCTAAGTAAATATTCTTGCATCTTTATCTACATTTTTTTAATATATAAATTTATTTTTATTTTTTATTTATTTTTGGCCACATTGGGTCTTTGTTGCTGTGCGCAGGCTTTCTCTGGTTGTGGCGAGGGGGGGGGGGCTACTTTTGTTTGTGATGCACGGGCTTCTCCTTGTGGTGGCTTTTCTTGTTGCAGAGCACGGGCTCTAGGTGCACAGGCTCAGTAGTTGTGGCGCACGAGCTCAGTAGTTGTGGCACATGGGCTTAGTTGCTCCACGGCATGGGGAATCTTCCCGGACCAGGGCTCGGACCTCTGTCCCCTGAATTGGCAGGTGGATTCGTAACCTCTGCACCACCAGGGAAGTCCCTATCTACCTTTTAAGTGATAGAAACTTTCCATTCTTTTTAAGTTCTGTACTGTGAAAACCATTAGAAAATGGTAAGTTTGTCATTTGTATTGTCCAGAGTTGTCTGTATAACTCTGTCATTAACTTCGAGGCTTCTGAGATGCACGGCAGCGTCACGCGTGTGGGCTTCCTGAGCTCTGGCCGCATGGTGACCACACGTCTGAGCTGCAGGCCTCAGTGAGGGACCTCCCTGAGCCGGTGATGGTGAGGTACTCGAGGCAGCACAGCTCACATGGGGCCACTAGCGTTGAAGCCCTGGCAGAACGTCTAACTGAGTGACCAAGAGGCTGTTGGAAATACAGGAGAACCCCAGGCACGTGAACCCCCCAGTAAGAGCTGCGTGGTACACCCTGCCTCCTTGTAAAAGACCTTCTGATAATTTAACGTGGGAGCTATTTATGGTAGCTTCGGAAATCTAGACCACATTTTTAAGAAAAAGTGTTAGAGGATAATTTGACGTAATAGCCAGTATTAGCGGCAAATGTGGCTTAGGGTGTTTTCTCCTTATTCCCACAGGCCCTGGCAGAGTTGAGGGAAGAAAACTGGCTGCCCGAGTCCCCTCCCCACCTGTTAATCTTGCCTCCCACCGCTTTCGAGTTTGTTTGATGGTGTGTTTACTATCTTTTAGTTCGTTTTGTTTTAGCTTTCTTTACCCCTCCAGAATTGCTTCTTTCCTGACCAAGCCAATGCCCAGGTGTATTTTGCAGGAAACATCCTTTTTAGTGCTTAAAGACTAGTTACTTATTTTGGAAGTCTTTTGAGCTCTTTACAGTAAAGTTATAAAATTTTGTCTGCTTTTCTGGGGTCTGATATAGTGTTTTTCACCCTTTTTTAACTCATGCCCTACCAGCCGAGAAGATTTCATGGCATCTTCCTTTCTGTAGCTTCTGTTACAGAACAATAGGTGGGTCTGTGTGTTGTTTGCCATGAAAGTCGATTACAGTATTGAATATTTATTTTCGAACTTCACACTATCTCTCCCTAGGTCCCCTCTCTCCCTGGTTTCTGATCCGTCACCCTAAGTGAGACGTTCTGTCTTCCTTAAGGATCGCTAGCCTTACAACAAGAGAAGTAGAAGTTTATTCATCCATGAATTTGATACTATATTTACTAAATGCAGCTTTCTCTACACCAGGCCAGAGAACAGCCTGACCCTGGTAGAATCTGCAGCATGGTGGAGAGAGAGGCAGTGAACAAGTCAGCAAAGACAGATAATTAGAGACTGTAGTAGCTTATGTCTGAAAGTAAGACAAGGCTGTGATGACGTCAGGAAGGGAACACTAACCCCTACATTTTTTAAGTGATGATTCAGGAAGCTTGATTTTGCTTGGTTTGTGGTTACAGGACAACTCTGGTCTGATCACTCCTAAAACCACGTACACAGACAGCTTTGCCCAGAGACATAGCTCCATTGGCCATCTGTGTTTCCAGGCGGGATTTGAAACGGATTGATTACGGCCTTCCAGATGCATTGCATCAGGATGTCCCTAGATGGCGATACAGATGAAACTGCTGGGGAATCTCACCATTGTCTATTATGTATTCTCCATTTATTTCCAAGAGGAAACTTACACTTCCTAGTACCAAGCGTTGTTGTTGCCATTTTCCTCATGTGGCGAGCCCAGAGAATGCTGGCCTGGCTTTCAGGACGGGGCGAGCCCTCGCCACCCCCAGAGACCTGAATCATGGTTCAGCTCCGCCCCTCGTGGCTCCATACCCTTAATCACGCCCAGCCCCGCTTTCCTAGCTGCCAAAAGGGGCCAGTAATACCAGACCCACATGCCTCACAGGGTTGTTATGAAAATCAAGGCAAATAGCATGTACGAACACATTTTGAAAACTAGGAAGCACTGTACAAGCACAAGGCTAAAATAACAATGCCTTTACTGTTACATAAATGAAACCGTTTCTGAAACTTCAGTGACTGGTGCCGTAATTAGGCGTTGATTGGGGATATCGGTGAGGCTTCCAACACGTATCTCATCAGTAGGACTGAGAATAAATACTGCCGCTAGGGCCATTTAATTCTAAAGCACACGACCATTTTACTGAGATGAACAGTATTTACTTGCAAGACGAGACTGTCTTTGAGAAATGGGGGTTTAAATCTGTGTTTGTACTGAGCAGTAATTGATCACGGGAAATAGCAAAGCTTGTTTTCCCAAGGAAGGAGGCCAGCAGTAATTAAGCTTCTCTTTTAATATGCAGAATGTAAAAAGCTCTTTTGGGGCCTTTCTGGATCACCAGGTACCTGCTATCCTGCGATAAACATTTGGTGTGGCAGTGTTCCTAGCTTTTTTTGTTTCTTTCCTTTTTTTCTCTTTTAATGTTTGCGGACCCTGTTGTCCAGTTAAACCATAACCTGTTAATGATCATAAAGAGAGATTTGTCAAAGTGCCCAGCATATAGTGCTCGGCACACACCAGCCACTTCAGTGTCTCTTGGAATAAACAAAATTAACAGCATATATACTACTCCCATAGCGCTCATTGAAAACAAACTCCTTTTTTTCTTAAAGCGTTAGTTCAGAAAGTCAACTTTTGCAGTAGTGGTGTTGTGTGTGTGTGTGTGTGTGTGTGTGTGTGTGTGTGTGTGATATTAATATTATTATTGCTGTCCTGTCATTACCTCTGGAGAAAGCAGAATCTTTTTAAAAACCTTTAGAAACCAGGGCTTCACTGGTGGCGCAGTGGTTACAAATCTGCCTGCCAATGCAGGACACACGGGTTTGAGCCCTGGTCCAGGAAGATCCCACATGCCGCGGAGCAACTAAGCCCATGCACCACAACTACTGAGCCTGCGCTCTAGAGCCCGCGAGCCACAACTACTGAGCCCACGTGCCACAGCTACTGAAGCCCGCGCACCTAGAGCCCGTGCTCCGCAGCAAGAGAAGCCACTGCAGCGAGAAGCCCGCGCAGCACAACGAAGAGTAGCCCCCGCTCGCCGCAACTAGAGAAAGCCTGCGTGCAGCAACAAAGACCCAACGCAGCCAAAAATAAATAAATTAAAAAAAAAAAATGTTTTTAAACCTATAGAAATCAGTGAAGCTTATGTAACTTGTTCAACCTTCCAATATAATAGGTGGTTTATGATTTCTAGAACAGTTCAGAATTGGAGGAAAAAAGGGTTTTTGGATTTCCCTTCTTTCCAAGTAACCCTTTCCATTAGAGCCTTCATTATTTATAAAAGTAATTTAAAAAAAAACTTCAGGAAATGTTTGCTGACTGAAAAAAAATACTGCAGTGGAGAGAGAAACCCTATTCTATGAATCCAGTGTTCATGTTTCCACATGAGGCCCTTTGGAGGTTTAGTCGTTTTTTTTGGTTTTTTTTTTTGTTTTTTTTTTTGCGGTACGCGGGCCTCTCACTGTTGTGGCCTCTCCCGTTGCGGAGCACAGGCTCCGGACGCGCAGGCTCAGCGGCCGTGGCTCACGCTCCACGGCATGTGGGATCTTCCCGGACCGGGGCACGAACCCCCGTCCCCTGCATCGGCAGGCGGACTCTCAACCACTGCGCCACCAGGGAAGCCCTTAGTCGGTATTTTGCTCTTTCTCCATTGGCTTTGCTGGCAGTGCTGTGTGCCTTCTTCCTCTCTAGGTTTTGCCGTGGTTCTAGTGAGTTACTGGTTTAAAATGTGTGTGTTTTATTTCTCCCGTTGTACCCAAAGGATGATCTAAACCCAGTAGCGTTCCATGTTGGCTGACGTTTTGTTCCTTAAAAGCACACACTCTCCTTTTTAATTTTTTTTACCAGCAATTTTTAAAAACCCTCTTTTGGGGATTACCGGGTCGATGGACTTGGCCGTCCCCAGCCTCGTGCTTCGGTCTCTGTGTGTCACACTCCATTTGATGCATGGGAGTGACTGCACACAGGCTGTTCCATCTGCGAGACCGGGATTAACCTTCCTGCACCATTCGATTCCTTTCCAGGTCCAACTGGCCCACCTTCAGCACTCCCTCTAAGCACCCAGACCTCTAGTGGCAGCTCCACTCTGTCCAAGAAGAGGCCTCCTCCCCCACCGCCCGGACACAAGAGAACCCTATCCGACCCTCCCAGCCCACTACCTCACGGGCCCCCAAACAAAGGCGCAGTTCCTTGGGGTAAGTCGTCCTCCAGTCAGGGCCCTCACTGCCTGAGCCAGGCAGCACGCGGGGCTCGGGGGGCAGTGGGCGCTCAGCACACCCAGCAGATGGACCCGACCGCACCCACGCTGGGTGAGGGCCTGGATACATATGATTGCACAGCCTCTTATGGCCGAGAAACATGGGGGGAAATGCCACCACCACTTAACAAGTGTACTAGTGATAAGCTGCTGAGTTCTCTTGTGCACCAGACACCCACCAGGGCCCTTGGTCAGGCTGGTCTCTCCCAGCTCCTGTCCCCTGCTCAGCCTCGCCGGCCTGCTTTCACCTCTGGGTCCACCGGGCTCTTTCCTTCCTGGGACTGCCCCCTCCCTGCAGCTCTGTCATGGGCTTGAAAGCCTCGCTCCCTCCCGTCCTCTTCCGCCTGCATGTCTGTCTCCTGGGCCATCCTCTCTGAGGGAGCCCCCTCCCCAGTGTTTCCCTCAGGACCCCAGATCACCGCTAACAGGTATTTTATTTGTGTTCGGTTTTTTGGTCTCTGGAACCTAGCTCCGTGAGAGCAGGGCCCTTGTCTGTCTTGTTCCTTTCTGTGTTCACAGAGCCTAGAGTCGAGCCCAGGATGTAGTAGGTACTCCATAATCGATTGAGAATAAACAAACCTCCCCAGATCAGTTAGTAGTTTACCATTTCAGTGACACTGGTGGCAGATAACAAATTTCTATCCATAAGGAACAGGGTGTCCGTCTTTATCTCCCTTTGTAGCTCACCAGCCTGCCACCAGTTTCGCTCAAGAGCCCTGTGTCTCCCGGCGCCCACAGGGTCCTGGCCCTGCTGATTTGCATGGCTCACCTCCCCTTGCCAGGGAATCGTGTCATGGCTTTTTTGTTTGTTTGTAACTGATAGGGAGCTCAGCTGAATGCTTTTAAAGGCCTCGCCAGAAAGCCCCTAATAGGTGTTCTGGATTTGGGGAGCTTCTGGGAAAAGCCATGCTGCCCATTTGCAGATGGGCACGCCTGTGTGTCATGTGACCCAGATGCCACAGTGCTGGGTGTGGACTGTCTGTGCTTAGCCATTCACTCCACTGGCCTGGTGCCTGGGGTTTGGGCTTCTCCACCCTTGTACTCGAGGAGCTCGTGGTCCAGGAGGGACACGCGCGCCGTGTGTTCCTCACCAAATACTGTGGAAATGCTGAAGCAGGGTGTCCAGCTGCGTCAGCAGGCTTCGCGGGGAGGGGCCATTTGCAGCGGATGTTGACAAATCTGTTCCCGGTGAGACCCGCTGCGGGGAGGGTGCGCCCAGGCGCACGTCAGCACCATGCAGGTCCCTGACACTGCCCAAGGCCCCACCCCAGGGCCTTCAGGAGTCCCCAGGATTCTTCCAAAAGGATTCTCCCAAGAGGAAGAATTATTTGCCCCAAATAATGCTTCACTGAAGGTCACCAGTTTCCTGCAGGTTTTCATACCACAAATCACAGACTGACCTTTTCGAATTTCACTAGATTTTGATCCTGTTGTTTACTCGGGTTTTATTTCTGCGTAAAGTTCATTGTGCCTCACAGACTCCATCAGTCTGTAGTTAAATTTACTAAATTTCTGTTTCCTGGCTTAAGAATCATCCCTTTCTTAAGTTTCTTTCACAAGACTAAGCAGCAGGACTAGAGAAAAAGTGGGTGTTCATTTGCTTTGGTTTGGGTTTGGGTGGGTTTCGTTGTGGACAAGGGGCATTTTTCACCAAGAAACAAGGTTACCCCTTGATGAGTGTGAGTTGGTGCCCCGGACTGTGAGCGGGAGCCTTCAAGCTTTGGAAGCTGTGGGCCCTGAGCAGTTGGCTGCCACCTACCACCAGCCTCAAGGGACAAAAATCAAAATCTCTCCACGCAAAAGTGACCACTGTACACGTCACAGACAACCCCAGGTGGTAATTCTGTGGCTGTCAGGGCTGTTCTTTCTGAGTTGGTGTGTGCGCACTTAGGGGAGATGTTCTTAAAGGCGTCTGCAGACGCGGGACAGTAACAAGCCTCTCACCAGGCAGGTTAAAGTGGCTCAGATCTGGGTCTTCATGCTTTGTGTTGTATGATCACCGCGGGTTTTATCCCTACCTGTCTCCCACTGACGTTGTGATCCAGAAGCCAAAGCAGGGGTCAGACTTAATTAATAAGGCACACGGGGTACCAGATTCCTAGGCAGCATTTATGGTGCCTGCAGTTTCCCTCTAGGCACCCATCGTTCCAGTGCTCTTATGCTCGCCTAAACCTCCCGTCTCCCCACGGCCCCTGAGGTGAGGACCTTTGGGCTGTCTGAGATCTGGACTGGGGCGTGGGGGGCAGACATGCGGAGGTGGAGTAGCACAGCCCCCGAGCTCGCCTTGGCCTCACCTGCCCACCCCCTGCCATAGGACGTGCCTGCCGTGTTGAGTTGGTAGGCTCCCAACTCCATCCTCTCCCCTGAGAGCCGAGCCTTTGCTCATAGTGTGCCCTCAACCTAGAACAGTCTGTCCACTTGTGTTCACGCTTAGTCATCCTTCAAGATCTACTGTCCAGGGACCTGCTTCAGAGACCTTCCCCGGCCCAGCCAGCACCCCCATGCCCACTCTCTGCTCCTTCTGGCATAGGGATTATCACACAGTAGTTCTGGTTGCCTTTCTGTCTTTCCCAGTGCAGTATGAACTCCTTACGAGGGCACGAGCTGTTTCTGTCTCAGTGGAGCTCCAGTGTGGACCTGTGTCCTACTGCCTGGATTCTAATCCACCTCTACCACCTGGTAGCCCTGTGGCTTTCAGCAGTTACCTTTGAATTGTTCCATACCTCAGTTTCTCCGGCTGTAAACTGGGGCTGGTTAATGGCACTCATTGAATTCTTAAGCCCAGTTCCACAGAGTAGGAAATGCAAGGGGCTTGACTTTAAGGACACTGAGATTCCCCTGCCCAGGTTCTCACAGCTGGTGAGTGGGGAGCCCGTGTGGCTGGGAGAGCCCATGGCCCTCACGCTCTCCTTGCTCTGCTGAGCTCTGCACGTGACGGCTCAGTGATCCCCTTGGCTGTTCCCCGGTCTCCGCAGTTGTTTCTTTGCCTGTGAATGGAGACGGGGGAAGGTGGCCCGGCAGGTAGGCACCCCCCGCCTGGCTGTGCCACCTCATCTCTGCAGCACGGAGCCCTGGTGTGTGGGGAGGCCACCCCGGGCTTTCTCCCTGCCGGGACCACAGCATCCACGGTGCCCAGGATAGCCCAGACATCACATACCGCAGCCCCGCTATGGTGGTGGCTTCGGCCATCTGTCTAGGGAGACGGCAGAGGCAGGCTTCCGATCAGAAAACAACGAGGCCGGTGGCAGAAGCAACTAGGTGCGGGGACTGTTGATTTTTGAAGTGGCATGTCGTTAAACCTCACCTTTGGAGATAAAATAAGTTGTTTATAACCTGCTTTCTAACAGACCAACACATTTTAACACAATTCAAATTAAATTAATAAGGAAATGAGGACAAAGGGAGAATAAAGGGAGCAAAGTAAGATGAAGTCCAGGAGTGTTATGCCGTCACAAAATGCATAACACAAGGTCACATACAGCAGCTGGAAATAGACCACAGGTTCGACACTGAGGTTCTTAGAGGTGAGAGCAAAGAAAACAGTGCAGCCAGTTATCTAGTTCATGGTGGCCATAAGATTAAGCCTTTTCTCGCACTTGAGATTCTTGTAATGACTATGTGAGATCAGCTTTCCCTGGGACCTCCGTCCTTTGTCAGGTATTCAGAGAAGTGTTTACGGGGCACATCCTGGGAAACCATATAGTGCACCGAACAAACTTTCCGGAAGCCTGAGTTCTGATCTGTGTTCCACCAATACCTGGCTAAGAGACCTCTGAGAATCACTTGCATTCCTTATCTTTGACCACTGGGACTTAAGTTCTATACGCGTCTCTTTTTTTTAATGGAGAGTAGATGATGGATGAAAAACTATACCACAAGATGCTTCCCTTCTCATATTTCAAGGCCAGAACTTCCAGGTAAAATGGGTCAGTATTTGAAATGTTTGATCCAAGTCCCCCCACGTCTGCTTATTAGAAGTAGTATTGGCTTGTAAAAGAGCCTTTGGGTAGAAACTTCCTGATTCTTTCTTTTTCTTGCATTTCCCAATATATTCTCAAGTCACCTCCCCCCACCACTCCGACCCCATTTTACCTGCAGTTCTAGAAATAACAATGGCTACCACCATATATAGATTATTCACCCTGTACCAGCTGCTGTGCACTTGTTCATACGTTACTGTATTAAGCCATCACGACTGTCCTGTGAGATAGGGACTGTCATGGTCCCTGGTTTACTGATGAGGAAATTGAATCACAGAGGTCAAGTGACTTGTCAAATAACTTCAGAGCCTGGATCTGAACCTATTTCTGACTCTGAGGTTCGTATAATTACCCACTCTTCCAGAAGACTCCTGGAGCCTGTGTGCCAGGCACTGCTGGGCAGTGCCCTCCTCTCGTTCCACACTCCTGGCCCACAGCTTCTGAGCTACAGTAAGTGACCTGGAGTCTTGGGCACAGCTTTTTTTTTTTTTTTGCGGTACGCGGGCCTCTCACCGCTGTGGCCTCTCCCGTCGCGGAGCACAGGCTCTGGACACGCAGGCTCGGCAGCCACGGCCCACGGGCCCAGCCGCTCCGCGGCACGTGGGATCCTCCTGGACTGGGGCACGAACCCACGTCCCCTGCATCGGCAGGCGGACTCTCAACCACTGCGCCACCAGGGAAGCCCTTGGCCACAGCTTTTTAAACTGTCTGCCCACCGTCCGTCTCCAGCCCTCTCCTCACACATCTCTGTGTGTAGCACAGTCATTTCCCAGGTTGCACGGAGAGAAGAAAAAGGGGTTGAGCTGTTTCCATGCTTCTGCGCCTCCTTCTAGTGCTATCCTATTTTGGGAACTTTTTCGAAGCCACACTTCTCTGCCCAGGCACAGCAGGTGGCCTTTGCCTGGCTCTGAGGAAGACAGGGTTCCTGTCCGCCAGACCACAGGTGCCTCCCCACCCAGGTGCGCAGGAAACCAGGCTGTGGGGGGAGGAGTGGAGGAGTCCGCTCTGCGGGCCTTGTCTTCATTCAGCAGCGCCCAGTGACTGCTCTTTGCGGACATCGGGCTCCAGTGGGGCTGCAGGGACGGACAAGGCAGAGCCCCTGTCTGTGAAATGCTCACTGTTGAGGAAATAAATCACCTGCATTTTTGTTACATCTCATCAGAGAGCTCAGAACAGTGATCTCCGTTTGTGTCATGCCCCCTGTTGTCCAGCACCGTGAACTACACTCCGTGGTTTCTCTCTCATGATGCTCGTGCCCATCTAGTGAAGCAGGTACTGTTATTCCTATTTTAAAGATGAGGGGGCTTCCCTGGTGGCGCAGTGGTTGAGAGTCCGCCCGCCGACGCAGGGGACGCGGGTTCGTGCCCCGGTCCGGGAAGATCGCACATGCCGCGGAGCGGCTGGGCCCGTGAGCCATGGCCGCTGAGCCTGCGCGTCGGAGCCTGTGCTCCGCAACGGGAGAGGCCACAACAGTGAGAGGCCCGCATACCGGAAAAAAAAAAAAAAAAAAAAAAAAAAAAGATGAGGGAACTGAGGCTCAGTAGAAAAAGCAGTGTCATCAAAACTCACACCCGCTGGTTGGTGGTACAACTGGAATTCAAAACCAGGCTTGTCTGGCTCCAAAATCTGCACCCTGATCATCCTCTGTGGTGAATGGTTGTAGGCTTACCGGGGGTGTGGAGAGACCAAGTCTGACTTGGGAAGAATTCTCAGAAATTGACTTTGGAGAGACCCTTTGAAGGTTACAAAGGAATTTACCCCAAGTGGGAGGGGATAGGTGTTGCAGGGAGAAGGAACAGAGGGGGCAAATTTACAGAGGCATAAAAACACAGTGTCTTTGGAGCATGGCCAGAGGGAAGGGTTAAGTGAGAACACTGGACATATGAGCTGTGGCTGTCGGACCACAGGCCCTCAACGTGATGTCTTGTCTCTGTGACAGAGTGGGCGGCCCCGGGCAGAGCCGGGGGCTCTTGCGGCCTTTATGGTCTCATATTCAGTCTCACGCCTAATAGGGTGAAGAATCACTGGTTTGGGGTGTTTTCTACCTGGAACAGAAATTAGCAGATGCAACAGCTTATTCCCATACCATGCTGAAAAGAAATGCCTGCCTTAAAGGAAGTCTCAGCTCGAAGGATGTCGTGAGAGGCTGCCAAAGAAGTCCTTCGTTGTTAAGTTACAGACTCGTGGAAATACACGGATGGTTAGGAGGGGTGTCTTATTAAAATAAAACTGTATTTGAAAGTCTTTGGCCCTGGTAGCACCAGTTGAGCTTGTTTCTTCTTGTATGTATGTCCTGAAGTTGAAGTCCTGTCCGGGAGCACCCACCTTAGCGCTCTGCCAGCAGCACCCTGTCCTGTAGGTTAGCGGGACTGGGATTGGAGGGGTGAGTGTGGTGGTTGAACGCAGGCCCTGGAGGGGCGCTGCCTGGCTTTATGTCCCATCCCTGGCCCTTACCAGCTGCTTGACCTTGACCTTTGCTTTACTTCTTTGTTTCTTCTTACACAGTGTAAGTGCCTTCCATTTTATATCTCACAGACATAATGACTAGGGGGTACCTAGCACAGTACCTCACTCAGAGTAAGTGCTCAATACACAGTAGTTGCTATTACCAATGTTGCTATTGGCGCGTCATGATGGGTAATGAGAAGGGCGTGCATCTGTGTACAGGACCGCTAGGTACATCGTGCGACCGTGTGACCTGTGGCCATTGGGTCACTTAACCCTGTCACCTCATCTTTAAAATGAGGACGGGGCCAGCTCCCCCTGCTGTGAGAAGGGAGAGCGTGGGCGCCTCTGCACAGTGAGCGTGAGTCCGGGTGCTTGCTCGGCCTGCCCCCTTCACCTCCCCGCTTCAGCCAGCCTGTCAGCGCCACCCGGGAGGCATTGCGGGCGTCCAGGCAGGGGAGGGGGCTCTGCAGAAACAGGAGCACGTGGAGTGTCCAGAGCAGTCGCTGGAAGGGTGAGCAGACGAGTAGAGGGGGCAGCACCCCAGAGATAGCCGTGCCCCGCGGGCTCCTGGGATCCCTCCTGGGCGCCTGGCGCTTGGGCTCCCCCCAGCACGGAACGGGCCACAGAAGAGGCCACTTTGATTCTGGCCAGTCTCTCTGTCTCTCCTCGACAAGCCCGTGGATTCGGTCTTGCTGCCCCCCCGTTGAAGGTGTTTCACTGTTCAGGGTCCGTGTCCCCCAGAGAGGACTTGCCCTGCCCCTCTGACCACTTCACTTTATTTATTTATTAAAATAAATTTATCTACTTTATTTATTTATTTTTGGCTGTGTTAGGTCTTTGTTGCTGTGCGCGGGCTTCCTCTAGCCGCAGCGAGCGGGGGCTACTCTTCCTTGCGGTGTGCGTGCTTCTCATTGCAGTGGCTTCTCTTGTTGCGGAGCACAGGCTCTAGGTGCGTGGGCTTCAGTAGTTGTGGCACGTGAGCTCTAGAGTGCAGGCTCAGTAGTTGTGGAGCATGGGCTCTAGGCGCGCGGGCTCAGTAGCTGTGGCTCGCGGGCTCTAGAGCGCAGGCTCGGTAGTTGTGGCGCACGGGCTTCGTTGCTCCGCGGCATGTGGGATCTTCCCAGACCAGGGCTCGAACCCGTGTCCCCTGCATTGGCAGGCAGTTTCTTAACCACTGTGCCACCAGGGAAGCCCATGACCAGTTCACTTTAGGTGCTATTTCCTTCTCCTTGTTTCACAGCACCCAACCCTGTCAGCGTCAGTCGTGCCTATGCCCCTCACAGGAGGGATGACATACTCTGGTGAGGTTTAACTTGCCTCGGTGCCTCCTGCTCCATGTTCATGCCTTGCACATAGTAGATGCTTGGTAAACATTCATGTCTGAACGAATGATTAGTAAATAAGTGACTGAGGGCCTTGCCCAGCAGATGGCCAGTCACCACCACCCTGCTGAATAATGGTGTGTACACACACACACACACCAGTGGTCCCCAGTGGTGGTCCCCTGGTGTAGGAATCTGTGGTGAACTTGAAGCCTTACTCTGCTTCCCCTGCCACCAAGCTAAGGACAAGATCCTGAGCCTACAGGACATCCCCCAAGTCCTGTGACCTTGGAGGCCTTGCCAGGGAGCAGATCACTCATCTTTTTAAAATATTTAATAGGAACAAAAACATTGTCAAGACCCAAACCGGTTTGTTGTAATGTCAGAAATGTGTACTGTTCTAGCTTGACGCTTTTGACTTCCTTTCTGGACCCTGAGGGTGGCCTGCCTGCCTATTCCTATGTCCCCACATTCCATTTCCTGTTGGAAAACGTGGCTTTTCACATTTGATCTTCCCCCTAGGTAACGACGTGGGTCCGTCATCATCGAGTAAGACCGCTAACAAGTTCGAGGGCCTGTCCCAGCAGTCGAGGTGAGCCATCTGCGCACGTGCTCGCTTGGCAGGCTCACCGTCGCCGTGGGCAGAGTTACAGAATTGGGTTTTAGGGGCCATCTGCTCAAGGTGTGGCCTATCAGCTGGCGCTGATCATGCTGAGAACCTGAGTGCTTCCCCTCGGTTTGCAAACACCCCTTGGCAGACAGTTCTCAAGGCCGGGCAGGATCCGCAGACCTTGTTTTAGGGGAGCACTGCTTTCCACATCCAGGTTCCTGGCGTGAATGGAACCTCCATTCTCCACCTCCTCGAGGATCGCAGAGTCTGCCAGAATGAGTTCTTATTTTCAGTTTTTTAATTTAGTCATTTTGTTTTGTTACTTTCTCTCTTGACTCCATTTTACAGGCTTGGGAATAAAAAGATGAATCTCAGGGAAATCCAGTAGCCTAGAGATTTTCAAACATAAAAATATGACTCTTTCCAAATTCCCTGTCTGTAAGACTTTTTTTTTTTTTTTTTTTTTTTTTT